TCTTTATGCTCAAAACAGGGGGAAAAATCAATTAAGAACAGGTACATGCAACCCTTTATTTACTGATGTTGCTGGGAAAACTGATTATCTTGTTATGTGCTTGCTCTGGAAGTAGATTGCAAATCCCTCTTTATTGAAATTTCACTCCATCTTCCCCAGGCGTTTCTGGAATCCATGCTATTTGCTAGGCAGGGCAGGAGAGGAGAAGTAAGTAAGGGGCTGTTCCTGACTTGTTGTGGGAGCTAGAGAAAAAGGCAGCTACCCATTTTTCAAATATGTGACTAAGAGTATTTCTCCTCTTAGCTACAGAATGCTGAGTATTATTTATTTTTAAAAAAAAATCATGGAGGGGGCTTGTATTGTGGTGTAGCAGATAAATTACTGCCTATAACACCAACTTCCCATATGGATGCTAGTTCGAATCCCAGATGCTTCACATCCAGTTCAGCTCCCTGCTAACGTGCCTGGGAAAGCAGTGGAAGATGACCAAAGTATTTGGACCCCTGCACCCACACGGGAGCCCTGGAAGAAACTCCTGACTCCTGGTTCCACCTGCCCCAGCCCTGGTCATTGTGACTGTTTAGGGAGTACACCAGAAAATGGAATATCTTTCCACATCTTTCTCTTTAACTCTGACTTTTAAATAAATAAATACATCTTTTAAAAAGTATCATTAGGCCCGGCACGTTGGCTCAGTGACTAAACCCTCGCCTTGCATGCGCTGGGATCTCCTAGCTGCTGCACTTCCCATCCGGCTCCCTGCTGTGGCCTGGGAAAGCAGCTGAGGATGGCCCAACTGCACCCACATAGGAGACCAAAAAGTTTCTGTCTCCTGGCTCCAGATTGGCTGAGTCCTTGGGGAGTGAACAAGGGAACAGAAGATCTTTGTCTTTGTTATGTCTTCTCTGTAAATCTGCCTTTCCAAGAAAAATAAATAAATCTTAAAAAACAGTAACTGAGGATCTTGTATGAGATTTTCATTGCCTGAGAGAGTTGGTGATGAACCAAAAGCTTCCATACAGATGTGTCTTGAATTTATGTTTTCAATACATTATTTTTTCAATACATTATTAATTTATATATTTGTGTAATATTTACATAGTACATTCATCATATATAATTCTAGCCATATTACTGAATATGTAAATACAAGCCATATGTAACACATTTAATACTAGTTATATTCTGTTCACATATAACATTATTTACTATATGACTGACATATTATACATGACAATATAAATTTACGAACAACCCAGATTCTTCATATTATCTATTTTTTTTTTTTACACAAATCCCTCTATCTTTAAAATGGAAGCGGTATACTTTTGCTCCAGTCAAAGCATGCACATTTCAGTTGAACCTGTGCCTTATTTGAACTCCACAATACCATAGCACATGAGGGACGCACAGTGATGAAGATGGCTACCCTAATACTGTTTCGCACCCACCCATTCAACAGGTGTTATGATTTACCTGCAGTGTGCCAAGTCTTGGCCTGAGTCCTCGGGTATAGGGCCAGTTAACACATAGTTGGTGACTCTGAATGAGTCTCTACCTCAAGATTGGTTTTGTGGGGGCATTAAACCAACTCTACGGGGAAGACCAGAGACAATTCCTCGTAGAGGAGACACCCAGGAAGGAGCAGCTCTATTTGAAGATGAAAGAGACAGGCAGGGTGAAAGCGTGTAAGAGAACTGCATTGGTGCTAAGCCAGCATGGCCTGTTCGGGAGTTGATGGATGGTAGTGGATATGCTACTAGTAGCAATATAATAATAATGCCAGGAAAAATGCTAAGAGGAATCTTTATGGTAGTAATTGCAGTTTTTATTGCGCATTCGCTGTTCTAACTCTGTGATGCATTGCATCGTAGAATTCCATGAGGATCCTAGACTGTATACGGTATTACTGCTCACGCATTTGAGGTGAGCATCCAAGATATTGCTCCTTTAGTGAGCTCAGCAGTCAGAAGCAAAGCAGAGCAAGATTCTGGAGGAGGCAGCTCTGTAAACTTCACCTTTTTCCTTAGTAAAATCAAACAAAAACGAAAATGTTAAAGGCTCATTCTGAGGCTGCTTGCACAGCACACAGGATCAGCAATGGCTGAAGTCCAATGCGTTGTAGGGACTAAATGTGAGAGAGGTGGCAAGAGATATGCTAATGAAGCAGATGGGTCAGGTTATAGATAACTCAAGGATATGCATTTTATTCTGAAAATCTTGTGACAGGCACTGGGGAATTTTGCAACAGGAAAATGCTCGGCGCTATCCTTGGGAAGGGTCCTTCTCAGCACAGAAGTCACATGAATGCGGCCAGGCCAGGCAGTCAGGTGTTGTTATCATCCAGGCGAGTAGATGTGAAGACCTGAACTGGGAGCCAACCATCACAGGGAAGGACATCTGGGAGAAAGCAAGCAGACACTGGCTAACAGCTGGCTGTGGGGTTGAGAGTAAAATTCCCATATGATGCCAGGTACCAGGCTTTAGGGATGGACAAATGGTGAGTGCAATCCACCAAAGAAGGGAAGGCAGTGAGAGGAGTTATATGGCCTGAACTTGGCCCCTCCAAGCCCATAAGCTGAAGGCCTAATTCATGGGATCTCAGAATATGATCTTATCTGGAGAAAAGGGCTTCACAGGAGTAACTGTGTTAAACTGGGGTCGTTTGGCTGGGCTCTCATTCAATATGATTTGTATCCTTGTAAAGATGGGGCATTTGGGGGAGATGGAAGACGTTGATGTGAAGAGATGTAGAGAAAAGATGGCGCCACTGCACGCCAAGGAGAAAGGCCTGGGACAGATCAGCCTTCAGAATGGATCAACTCTGCTGCATCTTGAATTAGGACATTGAGTCTCCAGAACAGACAAGAGATTTCTACTTAGGGCACCTGCTGTGTGGAACTGTGTCACAGCAGCCCTCACAGACTAATAGCAGTGCAATGAATAATGTATTTGGAGGTGACCATGAGTTTGATGTATGGCTTGGGGGACAGCCAGGTAGAAACAAATGTCAAAAGTCACAGTGAGATATGAAAACACCAAAGGCAGCTTGCAGCCAGCGATGATGTTGTGTTACTCAGCTCTGCCACTTTGGCATCTAGAGCAGTGAAAAGTACAACACAATGGGAATTTGAAATAGTTAAATGACTAGTGGACACACTTAGACAGAAGAAACTGCAAGGATAAATAAAATGGGTGCAAGTTCTAGTTTCTCACTATTGTATTACCAAGGTTATTCTAAATTCTATCAACTGTAACTGTGAGATACCAGTGGTTTTCAGAGACATTCCGCTTGGTTGCAGATTATGCTTGCAAGCAAACATAGTGTCTTTGTTTTATAAAATCTGGGGTTAAAAAAAATTAAACAGATCCCAAAGCTATTCTTAGAACAGAGAACTGTGGTCTGTCTAGAGTGTTAGGTTCATGCACATATTCTGAAATGGTGACCCCCAAATGAGCATGCCTGTGACATGTCTATTTTAGGCAGCAATTTAAAAGTCTGCTTGGCTTAAAATGTCAAAATAAGGAGACAGCATGACATAATGGAAAATGGCAATGACTGCAGGTCAAGAGACCTTTGTTTGGGATCCCACGTGTGCCTCTGAAAACCTGAGTGACCTTACCCTTTTGAGTGTCCTTTCCCGCATCTATAATGCAGTGATGGGAAAGAAGGACCAGGAGGATGTTCCAATTCTGGCCTTGTGTAATCTTCTCAATGCCGCCTTTAATTGCAACTGGAGATAACATTTCCATAAATTGACCTGCCAACCTGAATTAGTCCACCAACTTGAAGACATGAAAATAAGATGATGGCAGAAATTAATATCACAGATGACATTGGTAGAATAATTTCTCTCAATATGGTGGATAGACTGCTGGAAAGATCTAGTGCTTGGCTTGAAAAATGCACCTTAATTACCAGCAAATTGCATTTCTCAGAAAGATTTTTAGATTGCACAAGATCACAGTATTTTGCCCAACAACTTAAATTTTGACCATATTGAGAAAGGTATGGAAAAAAATCACCTATTCTTTATTGTATTTGGGATGCTGTCCTGGACTGTTAAATATTTAAGACTCATCGTGACCTTTCCTTTATATGCCTGGGTATTTCAGCCCTGACTATAATAAGCCATTTTGGGGAAAAGATAATTAAGATTTATGAAGTATCTGCTAAGTGTTAACATTTTGTGCCAGGTCCTTGGTCAGTGTTAGTCAATCCCTCCCTCAGGAATACTTCCCCATAGAACATGCTGTCACTCCTACTTGTCTTTTCTGTGCTCAACTCAATATGCTGAAGGTTGTTTACAGGGGAATCTCATCTGGCCTGGGGAGCACCCTCTAGTCCTGTGGGGATAAGCCAAATGGATAGGGGAGTTACTGCTGAAGAAGCATCCCTCAACCAACATCATGTGGAAATTCACTGGATCAGTACTCCAACCTCCCCACCCCTAAGCTGTGATAACCTGAAAAGTTTCTCTACTTGCTGATAGAGTTCTCCAGAAGGAATGAACTTCAGTAGTCCGCGGTGGTGCATGTAGCCCTGGTGGCACTGTCCTTTAGCGACTGCCTTCCTCGCCCATCCTAATCCCATTATTGTTTCGTGAGACCATCTTACAAATAAATCACTTACATTCGAATGTATGTTTCTGGAGCTCCAAGATATCTCCTAAGTTTCTATGGAGAAGGTAGCATTACTGTCACTGTACAGTTCAACGTGGCCAAGAGTTTGGATGACTCCCATAGTCTTTCTTCCAAAAGTGGGAGGGAAAGGACATTCTAAAATGGCTGGACACCACATGGGCTGTCACTAGTTAGGAGGGCAGGGACACTGAAATCTAGCAGGTAGATGCTAAGGATGCTGTTAAATATCTTACAGTGCACAGATCAGCCACCTCCAAGAATAATTCAACCTAAAAACCGTCGGTAGTGCCAAAGTCAGGAACTTGTCCTCAATGGTGATTCTGGTGTCTGATTTGCCTAATGTCGTTCATTTGCAGGGCCAAGCTGTGGCTCAGCTGTGCTCCACCATCCCCAATGTGACTGTCTTTGGAACAGCTTCTACTTTCAAGCATGAAGCAATCAAAGACTCTGTGACCCACCTCTTTGACAGAAATGCAGACTATGTGCAAGAAGTAAAACGGTAAGGTGTTTGTTCCGGATGGCACCAGGTTGGCCCCTGGCTTTCTCCAGTTGCACCCATTTGAAGGGCAGCATTGATAGTAATGGAACACATCTTTTGAGGAGCTTAGTATCCCTAGCTCACTGCTCAGCAATGCACATGTCTTAATATATTTAATCCTCTCAGGAACTTTATTATTGTTGCAAGGAACAAAGCAATGGAGTGACTTACAAAGCTAATGTGTTACAGTAGTGCTAGATGCCACTGTCTTGTCTCCACATACAGAGGTTTATTTCTTGAGTGGCTAATTGGTGGATACTCTTCTGGGAAGAGTTGGGAGTCCTGAATTTTTTTTTTCTCCCATTGTCTTAAGCCTTAGGATTCTTTGCTTCCTGCAAGTAAGTGGGGGAAATAGCACTGCAATGTGATGAATGGGAGCTTTGTTGAGTCAGTCCCAGGAGGAACACATGTATTGCTCACATTCTCCTGTTGGTTCTCGGGTCGTTAACCACACTTTTCTGAAACCAAATGGGGAAACACTGCATAACTGCGTCCCAGCTAGTAAAGGGACACCTGGTGTCGGGGAAGTGAGGGATGGAAAGGAATGTAGTGAGGCTGGAAAAGAAGACAGCTATCAAGTGCACAGGAAGACCTCCTACGCCAAGCTGGGATGTATGGACTCCAGCCTAGTGTGTTCAATAATCCCTGAGGAAGTGCAAGACTGGGAGGTCCATCAGCTGGCTGTTATGGCTGCCTGGGAGGGTGGTAGCTTACAATTGATGCATGTTTTACTTGTGATCCTGAGTGTGTGTCTGTGTGTGTGTGTGTGTGTGTGTGTGTGTGTGTGTGTGTGTGTGTGAACATGGAGTTAGGTGTAAAATCCAGCTTCCAACAAGGTTTCAGATGGTTTGTGTATCTCACTCCAGCTGCTCTTCAGGGCTCTCCACTCACTCTGAGCCTGCTCTAGTCACAGCTCCTGGGGGTACTCAGAGATGACCCAGAATAATGGTGGCTCTTTCCCTGGCACTACATCACACATCTAGTTAAGTTGCCCAGCTGGCTTCAAAAATTAACTCTCTCTAGATCACATATTTAGTTGGAAAAATTAAAGACCAGAGAGGATGGGAGAATGGGTTAACTGAAGTGAGAGATTTACATTGCATTATTTCAGGGACCAGAAAATAGGCCAGTGTAGCTGGAGATGAGGGACACCCATGCCTAGGCAACTTCACCATGTCCATTTCCCAGGCAGATGCTCCATCCACCATTTCCTACCCATCCTTGACCTGCTCCTTTCACCTGTGTGAAATCAGTGATTTCCCTTATGTCAGAGGAGCAGAGGGTCACCAGGCCTGAGGTCCACTCCACTGCCTCCTTCCTTCAAGTGGAGTGTCCAACACTTCATTGTGCTTCTCAGATATGACCCTAGGACTACGCAAATGCTTGGAAGCCACAGATACATTTATGCCTTCTTTCCCAGCAGGTCTACCCTCAGGAAATAATCAAGGAGGAGATAATACTGTAGGTTCAAAGCTGCCTGTCACAAGGCTGGGCACTGGTTCTGCTTCACTGTTAGGGCCTGGCATGTGTCAACAGAGTGAGTGCTGGTGTTGTCTGCAAGGGTGATAACTCCCAGGCAACCTCCACCAAGCACAGAAGGGAAATGGATCAGCTTATGCTGCACCTACAGGTTTCAGTATGATGCAGCCCCATAAAGAATGACAGTCATGAAGACTCTCTCACACAACGAAAAGATGCTTATGGTAGCACAGCATATTGAGGGAGAAAAGCAGAATGCCAAATTCCATCTTTGCTATGATCACAGCTTTGTACAAATTATTACCTCACATGGGCATCAGATGAAAGGAAAGGGAAAATATCCAACCAGTCACATGCCACAGGATGTGAAGGGAATGACGGGTGACTTTACTCTATTTTTTGATCATGATTATTGTTACATTTCTATATGTATGGCGAACTAGAAAAACGTAATATTTTTGAGATGAAAACTCTTTTATGAACCCATCAGTCAGGAAGCCTCTTTTGAATGTCATCCCAAGCTTGAGTCAGACATTGTAAATGGAATAGAATAAAAGTATTTATTATACAGCATTCACCTTCTCCTCCTGTTGGAGGAGAGCGGGGGCTCTGAGGGAAACCAAACAAGAGTTAGAAGCCTTTGGTTGTGTGCACCTGCCGGTTAGGCTTTGGAAGTAAGAAGAAAAGCATCAGAGAGGGTCTGAGGTACCAGAAGAAGGGACAGGCTCTCAGCAAGGGGAGCCAAGACAAGTCAATGTGGACAGATTAGATCACTTAAAATAAATTGATTAGCGGGGGAGAGAGCGAGCTCCCATCTGCTGGTTCTCACCCCAGATGCTCACAACAGCTGAACCTGGCACAGGATGATGTCCGGAGCCAAGGGATCACCCAGGATTGCTATGTGGGTGGCAGGGATCCAGTTACTTACTGCCTCCCAGAGTCTGCACTAGCAGGAAGCTAAAATCCGGAGCCAGAGCCAGGAATTGAACCCAGGAACTCCAACATGGGACATGGGTATCATTTTTTTTTAAACAGATTTATTTATTTTTCACTTGGAAGGCAGATCCACAGAGAGAAGGAGAGACAGAAAGATCTTCCATCCTCTAGTGAACCAGCATATCACTGCCCAAATGGCTGCAACAGCTGGAGCTGAGCTGACCAGAAGCCAGGAGCCAGGAATCAGGAGCTTCCCTCTGGGCCTCTTACATGGATGCAGATTACAAGGCTTTGGGCCATTCTCTACTGCCCTCCTAGTCCACAAGTATGGAGCCAGAAGGGAAGTGGAGCAGCCAGGACATGAACCAATGCCATATGTAGTCCTGGTGCTTGATGGCGGAGGATTAGCCAGTTGAGCCATTGAGCCAGTCACAGGATATGGGTATCTGTCCCAGGACCCTAGCCACTAGGCTAAACACCTGCTATTGATGAAATCATTGTGTGTCCCTCAGACAGTCCCACGAGGTGAGAAGTCCCCACTTCACAGATAAAGAAGCTGACTCCTAGGAGCACCAGATTTGCTCTCAAAGCTGTGTGAGTCTATAGACTTTCTGTTTTGCAAAACTCCTGTTGGTTGACAAGAGCATGAAACTTTGGAATAGAAAGGATATGTTTAATACATTGGTAAGAACATTAATCACCACAAGCAATTTAATGTAGGTAAGTTGCTATCTCAGGGAAGCATGTTTAGAGTTTCCTTGGTAGGAAATGGGTACACAGCATTGTTTTAGACCTTAAGGTCAATCATTCATCCAGCTATTAATGCCAGCCAATGGGCTGTGGATATGCAGGACAAGCATGTCCCTGGGACTTGAGATGTATAGACTAACAGACTACCACTACTCATAGGTAGTTGCAGGGGTCTGTACGGGAGAACATAAATGAGCAGCTTCTAAGTAGAAGCCAAACAAACTTGCTTTGGGCCTCCTGCATTTGACCGAGCAGACGCTACAGCGCTGCGCCTAAGGAGGTCTTTCCTGCAAGGCCAGGGCCTCCCACCTCCTGCCCTGTACTTGCAGGCAGGCAGACTGGCTCCTCAGGGACCCAGAGGCAAGCTGCACCCCAGCCAGCCATGTGACAATGAGCATGGGCAGGCATAGCAAAAAGCCCAGAATCGGACCGTGGAGGCAGGTGGAGGGCCCAGCACGTGTGGTGGAAATGGTTCTGGGTGCTCAGAGAGTGGGGGCCGAGTGGGGGAGCCAAGGATCCAACCAGAAGTCAGACTCACAATAAAGGGAGTCAGCGTCATGCAAGGTCAAGTGTTTCTGCCCTCCCTACCCCCATCTTGCTAATGGCTTTATCAGTACCCACCACCCCTGAGGAAAAATTCCTTCATGGTTCATGTGGGTGGGGAAGCAGAGAGGCCCTATTCACAGTACAGTTCTGGGGGTGAGGGCTATGGACAAAGGAAGGACACACAGGAAGGTCTGAGCTCAGCAATTCCAGAATATCTTGCTGCTGAATTTGGCCGAAGAATCTCTGAGCTGGGACTATATGTATTTGCTTTTAAAATCCACTGAGATTTATGACAGCAAGAGAAAGCTGGCATGGACACCACCAAGATCGGGCCTAGGCCCCAGCCTTCTCTGCTTTATATAATTGTTAAACATGCGCTGACAGGGTGGACACTGCCAGAAACGGGAGCGTAGGAGAGGGTTAGAAAGGAGGATGGAGGATGGCAGTTTTCCTCCTGTGATTTTCATTTCTTCCCTAGCTCGGCAACATTCCCCCACGGAGCCGGCATTAGACAGGCTGCTACTGAGCCCTGGGTCATCATCCACAGACCCAGCTGAGTCCACTTCAGTTGGATCCATGGATTCAGCATGAGAGGGTAGGGTGCAGATGGAGCACTTCAAAAGAAGCAGTGTCTGCTAGAGGGTTTTTGCAGCAGTGGCCCAAGAATGGTCACTCTCCCTCTGGAGGAGACATCTGCCTCAACTTTACATTTCCCTCTGAGACTATCTCCCTCCTTCTCCTGCCCACCCACCCCCAGGCTACTCCAGCCTCCAAAAAGATGCGATGACACCTGGAGGGATATTTATGGCTTATGTTGCACTTTTATATGTGCAATCCTAATCATTTGTGGTTCAGCTGCAGGAATGCTGGAGAGGTGGGAGGGTTAGAGGGGTAGAGTGCATCCTTTTACCAGGAGCTTACTCCCTGGAGAGCAAACACATTCCGTAATTACTTATTTCTCAAAGACCCTACATTTAATACTCTTACAATACAACGAAGTTCCCAAGACATCATTCCCAGGGGTTTACCAGCTCCTGGGCGTGAGGACAAATGGACTTCATGCACACATTCCCAGCTCTGCATACCCACTGCCTCCCTTGAAGTACTCAACAAAGGTTGTGTAGTTACTGGAAATCTAGGCCAAGTGTTTGTGACCCTGACGTAAGGATCCTCCCATAATCTGGAGGAAAAATAGATTGAAAATAGAGGTCTCTTGGCCTGGTTGTTTGGAAGAGCAACGAGGTGCAGTTGGTTAAACTGCCACGGAGGATGCCTGCATCCCTTACAGGAATGCCTGGTTTAAGTCCCAGCTACTCTGAACCAGTTTCCTGCTCTTCTATCCCAGGAAACAGCAAATGATGGTTCAAGTGCTTGGACATCCCTGCCACCCTCATGAGAGACCTGGATGGAGACCTGGGCTCCCATATTCAACTTGAAGAGTGACCCAGTGGGTGGAAAACCTCAATAGTTCTTTCTCTCTTTCTCTCTCTCTGTATCACACTGATTTTCAAGAACTGAAAATAAATAAACATTCAAAGAAAATTTAACACTGAATTCTCCAAAGACTACATTCAGCTGTTGGTTTCCCAGAGCTGTCTGCTAGAGTGATGCTCCAATAATTAGACTGCTTGCGTGCTTATTAACTCTTAGATTCAGAGTGGTGAAATATCCATCAGCTTTGAAGTCCAACTAAACCTAGATCTGAGTTCCAGCTGTGTAGTGTCAAGCTTGGGTGAGGTTCCTGTCTCTGTAAGCCCCATTTGTTCATCAGAAAAGTAGAGCTAAAATGCCTGCCTCGTAGGTTTGATATGAAGATGAATTATTAAATAGCCAGTGTACAGCAGAGAGTTCAAGGAAGCACAGATGTAGAGATGCCGCATACCTCTCCTTAATGTTTCATCCATTCATTGCATCATTCATATATTAACATCTCATTCCTGTTGAACACCAACACTGTGTCCAGCAGGAAGAGAGAAGCCACAGCTAAAACAAAAAGCAGCACACACCTGGGCCATGACTTACAGCTCTTATATTTTGATGGAGGAGACAGTATAGAAGTAAACAAATAGGTAACATAATTATAGCCCAAGATAGATCTTAAGGAAGTATCTCCTGTGTGGACATCAAAGCATAAAGGTGGGGCCTGCTGACTCACATTGTTCCCCTGGGGAGCCACTCCAAAGAGAGCTGGGGAAGCCTTGGCAGGCAGCGATCACAGCACATGCACAACACCTGAGGTAGGAATGCCATAGATCTGCCAGAAAGCTGAAATGTCTTGAGCAGTTAGTGGATGAGGGGGTGGGCAAGGATGTGTAGGCCTCCCTTTGTTGTGGGCAGATCTTGAACCAGTGTCCAGAGTATAGTGCCAGAGACCAATGTGGTTCAGCTTATGCAAGGAAGTGTATTAACACAAGGAGAGAATGTGAACTCATCAGCAAAATAGAGAGGTGAAAAGTGCCGGGAGAAGTGACAGATCAAGACTAGGCAGAGGTATGATGGATTTCCTGGAAGACACGCACAGTCTCAAATGGGCAAGGTGTCCTGACTTCAGGAGGACATCGTGCAGACAAGGGACAGGTGGAAAGGACTGGATCCCCTAGGAGGGCAGGCTGGCAGAAGCAGAGTAGGCTCCCATGTTTGGCATTAAGGAGACAGGAGGCATACTGCATGCCAGGTGGGAAACCTTCTCGGCTGGTGGAAGACAAAGGATAGGACACACCACTGAGTCCATGTGGTCCATCTGCAGCAAGTCCCCTTTGCTGTCTCCCCTCCAGCCACAGTGGCTGATCCCCAGTCTTCCTTCATCACAGGGTCTTTGCACATGCTTTTCTTACTGCTGCAGTCCTGTCCTTTATACTCTTCCTAGTTAATTCCCTCAGGTTTCCAGAGATGCGTTCTCCAGCAACCCTTACTGAGAAAACTGTTTACAATTGCATACTGCCTTTGAGGTACTATATCCCATTTTATGGTGTGTGTGTGTGTGTGTGTGTGTGTGTGTGTGTGTGTGAGAGAGAGAGAGAGAGAGAGAGAGAGATCACTGGTGAATGGGCATGCCCAATCTCATCTCTAAAAAGAGGAGAAATTAAGTCTGTTTGACTTCACTGCTACGTCCTCCAGGACCAACACTTTGGTCAGTTTAATGAACATTGAATGAACCTCGTCATTCATAATACATGCTGGCACAGTTCCTGAGTGGCTGCCTGAGACCAGTGGCTCTCACAGCGTGCATGGGCATCTGTTAGAAACATACATCTTGAGCATCCCCCTCAGACCAGCTAAATCAGAACCTCATAGACAAGGGGGAGGATTGCCATCTGTGTTTAACGGTTCCTCCACACAGCTCCCATGCTCACGGAGCTGTGAGACCCACTGTCTTCATTCCCTGCTTCTGAACTTCTGGATGAGATTTATGAAGACTCAACTGTGCAGGTGAAAGGTTTATTAGACAGCAAATCTAAGTTGATCACTTTGGATGAACTTTGGTGATAGACTGGATTTTGAATGTGACTTAAAAGCTTTGGAAGGGAACATTCACAAGATTCAGTTGTCACTGGGTATGAGGTAGCTAGCTTAGTTCTGATCCTGAGAAAATCACATGCAGTTTCTAGTGACCCAGGACCTAGCTGTTGACAATGTCTGAACTTTGCTGATGTGAGAATGGGGGTAGAAAAAATGAGATCTTTATTCAAACAAAATAATCCTGCAGACTTGCACACCTGAAGAGAGCTGTTCTTCTCTGAACAGGATGAGGCATAGCCATTATAGGAATTTCTGTGTATATGAATATCCCGCACACAGGCTCCAGCTGTTTCCTATGTCTCGCCTTCTAATGCGGGAACTCAGCAGATGTTTGCTGAGTAAGAGAATCAATGAATGGATAAATTAAAAAATTAGAGCAAGAGGTCAGCAAATGTTTTTCATGTTTAATAGAATGAATATATGGGTTTCCCATACTCTGCCACTTTCCATTGTTCTAGAAAGATCCTTTCAATTAAACCTCTTTCTTTAAGAATCAGTTGTAGGTTTGACCTGAAGATGAGATGATAGCAAGTCAGATAAACATGTCTTTACTTCTCTCTCTGAGGTGAAAATCCATCTGTGCTGTATCGGTAGCTCTGAAAATACAAGGAACATGTTGATTTTGTTCATAATTCCAGATTTAGCATCGTGGACAGAGCCTGTCCCCTAGCCTTAGCTCCACAAGAAGAAAATACATACTGACTGGCTGTCAGATGACAACCCCCAAGCCAAGCCTTTTCCTCTTGTTTCATGATTACTATAAAGAAATACAGTACTTCTGCTTTGCAAAACAGAAATCCAAGTCTCAGAAACCTTGAGAGAGGCAGCTACATATACAAACCCATACCCTCTGATTCTGATGCCCATATTAACTCTTCTACCTCCCCTTTGCTCTTACTATTAGCTACCAGTCATATCTCAGCTGCTCTGTGGAATTCTGACATAGATCTGCCTGACTTGTCATGGGTTGATTTGTGATTGATTGACTGGTTTCTTAACTTTAAGCTGGTGTGGAAGCAATGCTTATTTGGTAGAACCAGGCCTGATTTTGAACTTGCATCTTTCTCTGGGTTGGGGAGTTGAGGTATAACTCTTTTGTGACATTGGGCTGTGGCAGTGAGCTGCATCCCTCAGCCATTCCTGGGAGCACAAGGACATGACAGACACATGTAGTGGTCTGTGTTGCCAGCCTAGGAGGTTGAGTAGAGGAAGTGTAATAAATGCATTTGATCCTTAAGATATTTTCATCTTACAGTGGATTTACTGGGACATACAAAGTTGTGGAGTATGTATAGGTGGGACCAGTAAGATAAACCCATTCCCTGGGCTTCTACCTTATTAATTGCAACTCCTGGCACTCTCATTGCTCCTGTCTGTGTGAATGACATGATGGAACTCAAAAGGGGAAAGGGCAGTTTGCTTGCTGATGCATTACAGTAACTCTGTCTTATCCTTTTGTCATTTAGAATCTCTCCTGATGGTGTGGACATTGTTTTGGATTGTCTATGTGGAGACAACACTGGGAAAGGTCTCAGCCTTCTCAAACCCCTGGGAACCTACATTTTATATGGTGAGTGCTGCCAAGAAGCAAGGACAGGTCAACAACAGGAGGCACTGCATTTGTGCCCAGAGACAAAGGGCTCTGAAAAATGAAGCATGCTGATATGCTGGGATAGGGGATCAGTGGTACTCTATTATATCACTGCAGTTATTTTTAGTTATAAAGCTCATGTGGGTGTCCAGTACTTTCTATGCTATTATTTCAAAAGGGGTACAGAGAAATTAGGCAAATGAGTTACTGAGATGAGCAGAGCCATTAGAGTACTTGGCCCATGAAAGCTGTCACAGGTGGAAACTGTGATAGCTTCAAAGGAAGCCCAATGATAAAGGTACAACGGACCTGTAGTAGGATGAATAAGAGGGGGTGGAATATGATAGTTTCGAGCAGGATTCTTCACTATTAGAGATGAAATTGCAAAATACAGGCTGTCCTTCCTCCCAATTCTCCTTAAGTCCTAAATGAGTGGAGTACATCACCAATCCCAAGTGATTCCATATCCACTTCTGTGCTGTTAAGTGCACGGAGATTTATGGAAAGCCTGCACCTGAAAATTCCTCAGAACAAAAGAGTCCTGAGAGACTTCCCCCTCCTCCTCCTCCTCTCTTCTGTCTTAAGCATGTTAACCACACTAAACGTTGGTCTCCACAGGGCCAACCAAAGTCAGGAGTGAAAGTCCAAATCCAAGTGATAGGCGAGTTGTCTGACATTGGAAATTTGTGGCTCCTCTATTGTGGGTGTCATAGAAATGGAGCTTTACTTTGTGGGTAGCTTTTATTTAAAAAGAGAAACTAATTTTCTTGTTATTAGCTGGATAGAGTTAACCCCAAATGCTGGTTACCGTGGCAAAAACTTACTCATTTCCCTGCTGTTGGCTGAAGAGTTTGTAAAAGAAATGTTTGTGAGGTATAAACTTTCAAGCATCTTTTTGTCATCATCTGATCATTATATTGAGAGTCGAGCTCACCAGAGACAGGCTAACATTCCATTGTCGGAGTGTTCTGATCATTTCAGTGCTGGCCATGTATTTCCTTAAAAGTGGATGCACAGTCTACTATCACTATGAATGAAAGAACTTACGATATTCAATTCACAATGTAGGGAGATCAGCTATGACTAGCTTGTGTGTCAAATGTAGATAGAAAATGTATTCATCCTCACTTGTCACAAATCAGGACTTCTATTTTTTACCTCAGGTCAATGATATCACTTTGGTGAAATTTAATGTGATTTTATCACAATTACCTAGTAACGTTGTTAATTAATACTTGTTATTGTCATCAAAATCTGATATCACTAGTTGCTAACTACACTCACAAAAGCAGAAGCTATAATTAACTCACTGACTACTAGCTTAGTAAGGTCAAAAAATTAAGTTTAAATTATGCTGTTTTCATTAAATAACTATTTTATAAGAAAATCTCACCTCCAAACTTTGAGGCAAAGTGTTGCAATGGCGCTATGTGGCATCTGAGCATTCCCAGAGCATTCCCAGCAACCCACAAAGGGATTTCCTCTGAGACAGAATCTTTGCTAACTCTCCCTGCCATCTGCCCTCTGCAGCTTGCTGGTCCTAGTTACTGAAACCTGGCTTCTCAAGCCATTTTTCCCACACAAGACGTCATTAAATTAAAATGCTGGCCTTCGTCATACTTTTGCTATGCTATGACATAGCAAAGCATCAGGAGAGATGTCACACTTCTCCTTAGACTCAGGGACACCTCACTTTCATCAACTAGGTGCTCCTTTCTTACTTCCCTCATTTTTACAGGGCTGAATTAAACCTGCTTTCGAGCGTTTTCCAGTTTGGGACAAAATTGCCATTTGTTCACCCATATCAAGAAAGGTGTTGATTTTCATTTGTGATACCTTGATTCTGGCTTCTTCCATTTACAGGCTCATCCAACATGGTAACTGGAGAGACCAAGAGCTTCTTTAGCTTCGCAAAATCAGTAAGTATCCATGAAGGTCAAATGTACTATGGTGATTTACTGGTGGTGTGCATGCTATAATTTCCTTCATCTTCAGACATTGACCTAATGTTCTTTGGTCTTCATTTGCGTCATTCATTTTCAGTAAGGTCTGCATCCCTTCCCCACCCATTGCATGTGGGCAGGACCAAAACTTGGCCTACTGTGGCCTAGATGAAACTAAGGTAGGGTGTCAGTCAAACTCCAAAAAAGCTGCACTGCCATTTCAATGGAGATAGCTTTAGTTTTTAGTGTTTGCAGTCATTAGTTGAAAATTAATTTAGCCTTTGCATTTTATTTGTTTCTTAGAGAAGCCAGCGTTTCAATTTGGTCGCATTCTTTCCAAGTTTGTGATTTACACATGCAGGAAGTTCTCTGGGTCCCTAGCCTACCAAATTAGATATAAAAATGGGGATCCTACAACTTTAACAAGCTTCTGGGGTGATTTTTTTCACATGGACAAGCTTGTGAATACAGCACAATCCTGAATACAGCAGTTACTTTGTCTTCCACTGAGAAGCCACATCCCTGAGCAATTACCTTACCATGCACATGCTCATGTGAATACCCCCAACTTGATCTTTATTTGCAGGAACAAAACTCATTTGAGTTTGAACTTTGAGTTTTACCCTACCCAGGACTTCTGCTTCTCACAGGGTCTTGTCTCTGCCCTCTACTCCAGTCTCCTAATTATGAAGTTCATGCAGTATGGGTTCATTTGCTTACTTACAAGCATTTTCTGAGCTTCTGATACACGTGACACTGAGCCAGGCAACAGACATCGCAGTGGATGAGATGGACGAGATTCAGGCCCTGTGACTTCTGCATTCTAAGGAGGGAGGCAACCCCAGAATGGGCAGGACATTTTATTAACATGATTACCAGCTGCTTCCAAATCAGATAAGGGGTGAAAACAGGGGGCTGAAATGGAAAATGGCAGGATGGTGTACAGGCATTTTCAATGGGATGTTCAGAAAAAGTCATGGAATAGAGTGCAGAATTCAACCTACATGTTCATTCTGTGGGGGTACTTATGTGCCCCTTAAGTGCCAACACTAGCTGCCAGAAACTTTATTCTTGAAGTTAGAACTAAAGGGGCTCTGTTCTGATTTGAGCTTTGAGGTCTGGGTCAAGGATCTCGTGGGCTCCGGCGTATCCATGCAGTGTGAGAATAAGGTGCAATGAAAGCTGCTGTACGTGGCCTGTCCCTTGAAGCCAGCACTGTGCCACTGGCAGCTGTTATGTTGCAGTGTCTGTAATTACTGGGCTGCTGAAAGACTGCTCTGGGTAGCCACACAGCTCCCAAATTGCATGCAATTGCTTAAGAAGCATGTTTCCTTCTCTGCCCTAAATGCGCCATCGCGACTCGTGATGGTAATCGCCGTGATTGCAGTGGGCTTGTGCTCAGTGCAGGCGTTTGTCACAACATAACCAGGATGAGACCGAGTCTCTTCTGCTCAAAACACAGATGCCTGTTACCAGCATTCTCAGTGGCTGGATGGTGGGGCAAGAGTGACCACTGCTCCCTTTCAGAGCCTCTGATTAACGGAAAGTAGACTGGAGACAGGGCATGCTAAGCAGCAGGATTGCTCTAGAAGGTTCTAAAAACCTTTTTCTACTCATGCAATGAAAACAAATATTTGGTCTCATTCTCAGTCTGAATTGTGTTCTGCCCTAAAAGGGCCATGGAGCTTGCACTTTGTCAACCTGCATCATTTGCTTTCAGGCCTTAGTATGATATTAACATTATAAAATCCACACATGAAGAGGAGTCCGACTACAGGTCCAGAACTCTTACTCTCTAAATCAAAAATGTCCCTTTCATATGGCACTCATACTAAAAATTGTTCATGTTGCTCAAATGCCTGGCTCATGGTAGGTACTGCCACACTGACTCCACACTGGGATCACAAGAAGCACAGTGGGGAAACTGGCGCAGAGAGCCCAAGTGAGTCATTGAAAATCAGATAACTAATAAGTGCACAGTTGAGATTTAAAAGTGAGTATTCAGCTCTAGAAGGTTGGTAACAACAATCATACAGATTCTACTGCAGAGACACTGTGAATCAGGTTTTTGATCATTTGTCTGTATTTTCTCTGCACAAAAAACCCTTAGCAAAATGCACAGCTCCTCCGGAGCCAGCCCCAGACCCTTGCAGAAGAACCTTGATAAAGAATTACCTGTATGAACCTCAGCCTGGTTTCTGACCAATCTTTCCTTTGTGTATTTTCCTAGCATCATGAGCTTCCTAGTGAAAAAATAATAAGCCTTTTGCTTTTGTGAACCTCCTTACTTCTGATTAGAAAGCAAAAAACTATTTCTGTAGTCAGTTCAGGGCTGGTTTACTTTTTTTCATGCCTGAAGGGAGGAGATGAGATTGGAGTGAGATGGGCACACTTCCTCAGTTGTATGTTTCCCCCAGGACTAAAGTCCAGGTCTTCTCAGTCTCACTGTTATTCATCTTTGGGCTGGGTCATTTGTTTTAAGGTCTGCTGTGAGCATGATGGGATGTTCAGTAGCATCCTTGGCATTTAGAGACAATAATAACTCCTTTCCCCATGGTGGCCATGAGAAATGTCCCCAAACATTATCAGATGTCCCCATGAGACATCTGTGTCTGCAGCTGTGAACTACAGATTTAGTGCCAGCACTTGTGCCATTCCTTCCTCCTTTTTTATCACCCATCTCCTAAGGCAATTGTATCTGATGAATTCCTTCCCACTCTAAAGTTTGTCTTAACATTATTCCCCTGATAGGAAAGCTGCACCTATAAGCAGAATGTTGCCCCAACATGGGGCCTCTATCATATGCATCAACCTTTTCTGTCAACTTCTGTGTCACCCTGGTTTTCTTCAGCAATCCAACATCAACGTATCATCATCATTCACTGAGCCATGTGCTTTACACTTTAACTCAAAATGCAATGACAAAAATCACTGGAGGCCACAGCCTGCTGCTGTGCTCAGCTGACAGAATAACAGGGAGTAAGTTGCAGAGCCAGGATCCAACTCCAGGACTCACAATGCTCACCATATCCTTCATATTCAGAGCTGCCCATGGTCTGGTACAGACTGAGAGTCCTTTGTCCAAAATGAGTCAAACCAGAAGGGCTTCAGAGCAAGGCATCTCTTACGTTTTGAAATAACGGGATATCCTGAGGATAAATTTATTGATATTTTATTTATGCCTTACCATACATACAGAATGGCTTTGGACTGTAATCTGTCACATGAGGCCAAATGTAAAATGTTACACTTGTGGCATTGAGTTGGTGCTCAAATATGCTTTGGACTTGAGAGCATTGGGGACTCGAGATTCTCAGCCTGCAGTTGTGTCTCATCAGCATTGCTGTCTATTGTCTACCTTGTACTCACAGTAGTCTTAGAGTAACAAACAGAAGTTTAAAACAAACAAACAAACAAACAAACAAAAAAGCCCATCATAAGAGCTACCTCCTGACCAGTTGAAGTCTTCCCCCACTGCAGTGCTAGCTTCCCCTGTGGCTGCCCCTTTTGTAACCTAGCACCATCTCTCTTTCCAGTGGTGGCAGGTGGAGAAGGTGAACCCCATCAAGCTGTACGAAGAGAACAAAGTCATCGCGGGTTTTTCCCTGTTAAATCTGCTCTTCAAACAGGGCCGAGCGGGCCTCATCCGAGCAGTGGTGGACAAACTCCTAGCACTGTACAACCAGAAGAAGATCAAGCCTGTCGTGGACTCCCTCTGGGCCCTGGAGGAGGTCAGGATGGGGCTTTGCCTCAACAAATACCCACCCATTTTTTTCAGTCAAGGCAGGTCTGGGCAGCCAGATTCAAGGGTGCTTCAAAAGTTCATGGAAAATAAAATTAAAACATAAGTTAATTTTAGTGCAAAAAAATTTAATGTTGAAATCCATTCATATCAAGAGTCTTCAAAAATTTATAGAAGATGTATATTAAAGACTATGTATGATTACTAACTGCTTTTGCAGAAAATAAGCATGCTTTAATCCCATTTTATTCTGTGAACATTTTGGAGCACCCTTGTATAATATTTTACATGATTTTTGTCTACATTTGTTTCCCATGAGGGCTCTAAAAGTCATCGCCCCTTAATAAAGGGCCTTGGCTATAAAAACTACTTTAGGTTTCTTTGTGGTTGCCAGACTGGGTGCCTTACTACAGCATTTAGGGCATGATTCTTTCCCAGGTGGGCCAGTGAAAACTGATGGATGTGCACCGTTCACCTTGGTTGTGTGGCTGCAGCATCGTGTGTATTGTTGTCTTGTGGGTATAGAAGAGATCAAGGTCAGAGCAAATGATGCCTCAGAGCTGAAATGATTTGTGTGCTGAGCCCAGCTGCTTTGAGCTCCCGGGAAACCTTGTTAAGCCATCATGATGGACACTAAATTATTGCTGAGTTGTTGGGTCTAGTGTTGGTCTGAGTTTTTCTTGTTAAGGGATCTGATGAAAGTTTTATTTGAAAGCATTCCTTGATCACAAACGAATGAAGAACGCCTGGAGGACATTGAGACATGAACACACTGTATTGGTTTATATGAAACTCACTAAGAGGAGGTTGGATCTAGAATATCTTTCGGGATGGAAGGAAGCTTAGGCATTTGAAATATCAACCACAGCAACTACTTGTAAGGAGAAATAATGAGAGGTAGCTTGGAGTTCATGAGGTAACACCCTTAGAAAATCTTTGCAAGCAGTGATTTTATAACCTTGACTTTAAGAAGCCTTGAAGACCCTAAAAATTTTCAAGAGATATAGAAATGCAGTTTTGTTTGTTTTGCAATATGCATGGATAAGTTGCCTTATGGTGTGTTTGGAGGATCACAGACATATTTTTTAAGCACTAACAAATGTTGAGTTCCATGGAGCAGATGGTGGGCCTGCTTCTGGCAAGAAGACTGATGCTGTTTGCCTGCTAGACATGGTTGGCTCAAATCCAATGGCTTTTGCACACGAAGAAATCCTCCCGACCAGGTTTTCTCTGGGGGAATCCATGTGTAATCAATACAACTTGTCCTACATTTATGATCCAAGAATCTGCCTATTTTAATATTACCATAACCCAACTACCAGAATATCTTGTTTCTTTTGACAAAAGAAGTTATACTCATTACAGGAAGTTCATAAACTAACCAAAAACATAAGGGAAAAAAAGAGTAAGCCATTCTATATGTCCCAGAGAAGGGTAACATTGTTAACATCTTGGTTACTTCCTTCCAGTCTTTTTTTCTCTATTGCATATTGTTCACTCTGATTTGATTTTTTTTGCTAAATCACATCAGACCAATCTTGCATGCTTTCTTCTGTGTAATAGCCAATATGGTTTCTTGAATTCTTTTTAATTTTATGAATTGTGGATCTACATTGTAATTATTGTGGCATCTTAGAGGAACAAGCTAAAACTGGGCTCCATGGAAATTAAATTCTTGATAGTCAGGGAAGAGAAGAAACTAGAAATAGGCAAGACTAGGGTTAAGAGAATTCTGTTCATTGGGCCAGGACATATACTTAAAAACTCAGTACCCACAACAAGGACCAACAAATCTGGTAGCATTTGAGAGAGAACTGAAATCCAAGAGGGATCCAGTTGGCCCAGTGGGATTCTTGTCCTAATAATGGGAGTCATCCCTTGGTCACAGTGGTGATGGAATCACAAACTATTGATGGAATGAATGGTGTGTGCCTAAGGCTGGGTGGATGCTGGAGATAGAGGGTGATGAAAAGATGGCCAAGATCCCTAGGTACCAAGGAGCTTAAAGGCAGGAGAGTTGTAAGGAACAGAAAATATCAATGTAAATGTAACAATCCATAGGGTAATTACGAATTGCAGTTAAGTCCTTGGAAGGAGATAAACTAGAGTGTATGCTGAGGAGTAGGTGGAATGGAGAAATTTATTTTCTACAGAACAGAGCTTCTCAACCACATGGCTTCTGCAAAGAGCTTTATACATATCTTTTTACCTTATCAGCTTTCCCATGAAAATTTTTAAGAGCACAAGGGAACAGGAGAATAAGAGTATTTCTGAAGGTTCATGTAAAATGGAATTAAAAGGTGGGTTTATTTTGACGAAAAATAAAACGAAATCAATGCATGAGGGCTCTTCGAAAGATATTATTATGAAGAAATTAAGCATGGATTTCAAATCTTGACATCAAAATAAACTCACTTTTCTTTCTATTTTCCATGATTTTTTGAGGTATGCTGCACTAGTGTCCACTCCTTGGGAATGTATACTGTGGGGTGATTTAAAGAACGAAGGTGTCTCAGGTGGGTGTGAGTTGAGTTGGAACATGAGGGAAGCACAATACTGAAGGGGGCACTCCGAAGCATAGGGAGGAAGGAAGAAAATTTTCATTAAATTCTAAAGAGGGATCATTGTGAGCCAAGGAAGAAATTGTGCAAGGAGAGCCTGAATAAGTCAACTAGGAATGGAAGGAAACTTGGGTTTTACTCTGAGTACCACAAGAGGCTTCCGACGGATCAGAGTCAGGAGGTGCCACCACATGGTCCCCAGGGCATGAACCCTTAAGGAAGAAGTTGAAACTGTGAAGCAGAGGTCCTGGACAGTGGCAGAGGTGCAACAGTGAAATAGTCAAGGATAGTACCTGCCCAGCTGAGGAAAGGCAGGGTGCACTGACCTTGCTCTCAGTAGGGAGGAGCTGACCAGGATGGGTGGCACAAAGAAGGCACCAGTGCTCCTTTCCAATCATCCCTGCATGTTGGGGCAGAGTCAGAACTAGCTTAAGGACTGAGTCCCCCAAGGATGCAAGGCAAAAGCTCTAGTGCTAAAGAGGTGTTCAGTCCCAACTGGAGGTAGAAAAGCCCAAGCCAGCATCTGACTTGACTGAGTCATGTGTCACCGGCAAACAAGTTCAAGACTTTACATCAAATCCATCTCCATGCTTAGTACATACTGACCTGATTCTTACTTTCTTCTTGCCCTGTGCAGAGCATTTTCTGCCCTACTTCCTAAGTATACTCACAAAGAGTTAGGCCCGTTCATGTTCCATTCAACAGTCAATACCTCACTGAGGCCTGTGGAGGCCTCATCCACCTTGACTCTGGCCCTCTCATCAACCTTGGGGCATCCATCTCACCTGCTCTATTAGAGCTTCAGTCAGGTCCCAATGTGTTTCTGGTCCTTGAACCCATCCAAGCCTTGTCCAATTTGACCCTTGGAACCTGTTATATCCTGTTTTCTAAAACTGTCTCCATTGTGCTTTTCATTGGTTGCGATTATTTTGTTAATTTTTGGTTTACTTCTTTAGATCCCTGCCTCTCTCCCACTAGAAGGTACACCCTATGTGAGCGACTAGACAGACCCCGCTGTTCTAGATCTCACTGTATGGACAGATTAAATGCTCAATAAACACATGTTTACACATGTTTAATAGAACACCCATATCTCGTATCAGAGTGTCTGGGTTCAGTATCTGGCTCTACCCTTACTATAGCTTCCTGCTAATGGAAGACTCTGCAGGCAGCAGTGATGCTAAAGTGACTTGGCTTCTGTCACTCACGTGGGAAACCTAGATTGAGTTTCTGGTTCCCAGCTTAAGGTCAAACAGGAAGCTACTAAGGAATTTGAGGGGTGAACCAGTGGATGGGACCTTGATATCTCTTCTAACTCTCTGCCACTCAAACAAATAACATTTGATGAGTAAATGTTACAAGAATTACTGAAATAAATGCTCAGTAATATGACTAGGTGAATATTTTCTATGCCCAACAATTATTGTTGAATGAATGAATAAATAAACTATACTGAATATTACATGTCATTCCTCTCAGAGTTTCTCAGCCTGGGCACAATTGCTGGGTTTTTTTTTTCTTTTTTTTTTTTAAGATTTATTTATTTATTGGAAAGTCAGATATACAAAAAGGAGGAGAGACAGAGAGGAAGATCTTCCGTCCATTGATTCACTCCCCAAGTGAGTGCAATGGCCGATGCTATGCTGGTCCGAAGCCAGAATCCAGGAACTTCTTCCGGGTCTCCCACACGGGTGCAGGGTCCCAAAGCTTTGGGCCGTCCTCAGCTGCTTTCCCAGGCCACAAGCAGGGAGCTGAATGGGAAGTGGAGCTGCCGGGATTAGAACCGGCACCCATATGGGATCCCGGGCGTTTAAGGCAAGGACTTTTTAGCCGCTAGGCTATGCCACCGGGCCCACAATTGCTGTTTTGATCTCAATAATTCTTGGATGTTGGAAGGCTGCCCTGGGCATTGTAGGATGGTTAGCAGCATCCCAATCTCTACCTGTCAGATGCTAGTAGCACCCTCTATTGCCACCTCAGATCATTTTTTTTAAAGTTTCCACACATTGGGCCCGGGGCACGGTGGTGCAAGTGGTTAAGGTCCTCGCCTTGCACGCCCGGGATCCCATATGGGCACCGGTTCTATCCCGGCAGCCCCGTTTCCATTCCAGCTCCCTGCCTGTGGCCCGGGAAAGCAGTCGAGGACGGCCCAACGTTTTGGGACCCTGCACCCGCGTGGGAGACCCGGAAGAGGCTCCTGGCTTCAGATCGGCATAGTATCGGCCGTTGCGCTCACTTGGGGAGTGAATCAATGGACGGAAGATCTCCCTCTCTGTCTCTCCTCTCTGTATATCCGCCTTTCCAATAAGAAAATAAAAAATAAATCTTTTAAAAAAAATGTTTCCACACATTGTCAAATACCAACTCGGTGGGACAAGAGGCAAGAGTGATGGACAAAATCACACCTGGTCCAATGAAGTAGACATTT